CCCCCCCCTCTCCTCCCCCCCCTCTCCTCCCCCCCCTCTCTCCTCCCCCTATCTCTGTCCTCCCTCTCTCTCCTCTCTCTCATTCTATTTTGGTACTGGAGATTGAATCCAGAGGGACTTTCCTACCGAACTACATTCCTAGCCCTTATTTTTTTTTTTTATCTTGAAACAGGGTCTCTCTTAGTTGCTTAGCGCCTGGTGAAGTTGCTGAGGCTGGCCTTGAACTTGCAGTCCTCCTGTCTCAGCCTCCTGAGTTGCTGAGATTATAGGAGTGTGTCTCACTGCTCACTTCTCCTTTAGGCCTAGATTGTCACTAAATAAACGACATTAACCATCTCTTTGTTTTCATTCTGACCTGTTTTGGACTCCTGAGATGTTGGAAGGAAACAGAGATTATTCATAAATTTATGCACAAATTTATGCCACCAACGCAGAGGCTGTGGATGACTCATGTTTTCAAAATGGTGCTCTGGATTGGATGCAGGGCTTCATGCACACTAGGCAAACACTCTATCACAGAGCTACAGCCCCAGCTGCTCTTTTCCATTTTGTTATTTAGACATAAAATTCTGCTTCTAGGGGCTTGGGTTGTGGCTTAGTGGAAGAGCGCTTACCTAGCTAGCGTGGGTGATGCCCTGGGTTCGATCTTCAGCACCACATAAAAATAAATAAATAAAACAAAGGTATTGTGTCCAACTACAACTAAAAAAAAATAAATATTAAAAAAAAATCTGCTCCTGATTATTCATGGTGTAATGGAATTGAGAGTAGCAAAAGGAAGATAATCCTTGCATTTCATGACAGCTGAAATCACACAAAACAAAGAGAAACCCCCCAGCAGCAGCAGTAGCAGATATTACATCCTATTATCTTCCTGATATTCCAGTCCTTCATTAACTTGCATAATTCAAAGTTGGACTTTGGGTCTTAGATAGTGTTAGGCTATTTCTTTTGTGTTGGCACAACAGAAGGTACATTCATGAACTTGTCAGACATTTTGCACTGAATGTTCTTTTCTCTCTCTCTTTTTTTTTTTTTTTTGCAGTGTTGGAGATAGAGCCCAGGGCCTTGCATGTCTAAGCAAGCACTCTACCACTGAGCTACACCTCACAGCCCCTGACAAACTAACATTTTTTTTTTCTCTACACCTATCTTGTATAGCCTCTAGCATGCTTTCTCTTTGTCTTAAGCTATAAAAGCATATGATTAAGAAATGGACTCTGAAGTTAGAGCCATCTGTCTGCTTTGAATTTTGGTTCCATCAGCATCTTTACCCAATTATTTATCTCCCTAATCTTCCTTTGGAAAATTGAGAAAATAATAGGATTTTCATGGACATTAAATGAGAAAATATTTAAAATACTTGTCACTCTTTGTGGCACATAGTAAGCATACAAAAGTGTTGCTTATTGCATTTTTTATTTAATAAACGCCCGGTTGAAGCAAAATAATTTTAGTTCACTTAAAACGTGTACCATTTATATGATGCCAAGAATGAAAGAGAAATAAACCAACAACTAAGGCATGTTGCCTATAACCATTTACTCTGTTTTTAAACCCATTTCTTCAGTCTATTTAGTTCTAGTGGTATCCCTGGAACCGCATGGATGGCAGGGTACCCCTACACAATCCAAGCCAATCCAGTGGAAGTGTGTGGTGGCCATTGCCAGCTTTAATGCTGAAAGACCTTACTCTGATTATTGACTCAGCATTTTATTTTTTGTTTATTAATTTATGATACAGAAATGATTATGCAGGTTCGTTTTTTTGGAAAGTTCTAGGACTTTGACTCAGACTTGACAATAATTAGCTAGGTGAACTTTGGTCTTCCAGCTACTTTTCCTTTCTAAGTCCATTTTTTCCCCCTAAAATATAAAGATTATATTAATCTTATAAAGGGCCTCTTCTACCTCTTAAATTCCATTAGAAGTAACTTGCCTGTCATTTAATTATTTGATTTCCATCAGGCCTCACTGGATACTTACCTGCATAGCAGCTTCCTTTGATGGCCACATGGGCTCTGAGTAAAGCTTCCTTGGCAATGACTTGTTTATGGCCCAGGCTTTCAGGCACATTTCCTTTTCCTTCTGTATTTGGTAGCATGTGCAGCATCTGCATTCAGTTCAGCACTTACATTTAACTGTGATCCCCCGCCCTTTTCTGTCTTTGTCAGGTCAGAGGCTTTGAGTTCTTAAAGGAATCTGTTGATTTACATAACAAAGGTGCAAGATAATGTCATTTAGGATGAACTTCAAAGTGTGACTGTGGGACTAGGTAATTCATAACAACTATGCAGACTCTAACTCCATATTAGTTCATATGAATAAGAGTTATGGACCTGATGAATAGGAAGAGTATGCAAAGAATTCAGAATTGAATCAAATAGAATACAAATGTTTTGAATCCAATCAAGGAAAGATGAAACCTAGAGTAACAGTACTGATGTACTTCAAACCTGAAAATTAGTATAACTTGTTAAACAAGGATGTGGACTCTGGAATCAAGTTTTCTCACAATGAGAAAAATCACCCTGGATGTCTAAGAATTCAAATCCTGCCAACTTTTTTTTAGTCTTTAGAGCCCTGGGAGGGTAAACTTCAAATTCTCTAGAAAGGTCATCTCTTATTCTCTTGGGATGATATTATTTCTTTAGTGAATATCTTTAGCCCCAGGAAGAATAAGAATTAAGTATGGAGGTGACGAAATAATTTACATTTAATGGTTTTATTTTTTTTTCCTGTTAAATTTCTTTAGTATCTTTAGGGCTTTGCCATTTTGAGGATAACTAGTATGTTCATAAGAGATTAGCCTTGTGGTTACAATTGAAATTATGTAGTTGCTTTAGAATTGATAAGTTAACATATTTAAGGAAAAATTTCAAGTTTTGAATGGTATTAGAATGTGAGAACCTTAGATTCACCATATTTTTTATAGTTTTTGTTGCTCAGCTTTATAAGATTAAATATTTGGCAAGGTTTATTTGTAATCAGACAACAAACGTTCAAATAGACATTTAAATAGATTTTTAAATTAAATGTAGTTTAAATTATTTTATTGATGATGATGATAATGATGATGTAGTAGTAGTAGATACACTATGGATTAAACCCAGGGGCACTTAACCACTGAGCCACATCCCCAACCCTTTTATTTTTATTTTGAGATAGGGTCTTGCTAAATTTATTAGGGCCTTGCTAAATTGCTGAGGATGACTTTGAACTTGCAATCCTCCTGCTGGAATTTGAATTCTTAAAGAGACTTTAAAGTCACAAAGGCTCATTGGAATTGGTTAAAATTTAGTAGATTTACAAACAGAATAATAAAATTTGTTAGTTGAACTTAAGAAGTCTGAGGAAGAACTAGGCTTTTGAATTTGAAATTGTAACTTTGCTGAATAAAATATTGATTTTTAAAATCAAATTAGCACTTAAATATCTTTTCTTTGTACATAAACCATTTGTAATGTATCAAAAAACTTGTTCAGTAAATAAATGATGCATAAGTCACTGATGTTCTGCTGACTCTTTAAAAGCAGGCTGTAATCTTTTTCAATTCTTAGAAAATATACATCTCAAAATCAAAATGCAGTAATAGCATTACTTTTTAGGAATCTGGAAGAAATTTTTGATGATTTTTTACTTCAGTGTAAAAACAAA